AGAGAGGGAGAGAGAGAGAGAGGGGGAGAGAACGAGAAAGTTTAATATTTAAAAGGACTGGAGAAAGGGGGAAGGGAGAGAGATGGTGGGAGAGAGAGAGAATACAACAGAAGTAGCTGCCTCTACATTGCACATAATAGAGGACATAGAATGTTAGACAGAGAGGGAGAGAAGGAGAAAGTTTAATATTTAAAAGGACTGGAGAAAGGGGGAAGGGAGAGAGATGGTGGGAAAGAGAAAATACGACAGAAGTAGCTGCCTCTACATTGCAGACAATAGAGGACATAGAATGTTAGAGAGAGAGGGAGAGAAGGAGAAAGTTTAGTAATTAAAAAGGACTGGAAAAGGGAGGGTGGGAGAGAGAGAATACGACAGAAGTAGCTGCCTCTACATTGCAGACAATAGAGGACATAGAATGTTGCATGTGCAGCCAAAAACAAAATGCCCCAGGTTACTAATTCAATACTGCACCGGAATTTCATTACTAGGATGCTTTGGAGCATAATAATGTACAAAGCATTACATGCCTCTTTATAAATCCTGTATTGCAAATAATATAAATAATATTATAATTATAATATAATTACTATATCCTATAGTGATATGTATAATATTATACTAATAAAGCAATAAATAATATTTATAAATATTAGCATACAATGTCTATATATGTTTTATATATATATTAGTATATATGCCCCCCATAATTCCTGTATTTAAAATAATATAATAATTATTATTATTATAACACAATTACAAATATATAGTCTATAGAAATGTGGAGACTAATAGATCGGTAAATAATATTTACAGTACACAATTCCTTACAAAATGGATGTAAAATAATGACCTCAATTAGGCTGGCCCTTTATCTCTTAAGAAAGAATGCAGATTCACACACGTATGCACACAAACAGAGACTCCTGTCCACCTGTGACCATCCTGAATCATTACAAACACATTCCCGTTTCTATAGTTACGCCATGGGATTGATTCCAACAAGGAAGAGCCTGGAGTTGTGCGAGAGGATGACAGCATCATCTTTTTGTAAGTAAGTCTCACTTTAAAAGAGAGAGAGAGGGGGAAGGAGAGGGAAAGAGAGGGGATAATTTTATAATTTTGTACCATGTACATATAATAATGATTATATCTATCTTGGTCAACACACATCAGATTATAAACAGTATTACTAATAATGATGATGATGATGACATTCATTTTAAAAAGGAAACGTCTACACGTACGTGCACACAAGTACACAACTACACATTCACTATTATATCTACACTATAAACTATGCCTTTTTATTTAAAATACTAATTTCTTCTATCTCATTATACATGATTGCAAAACGGTAATTCCTTTGCATTACATTTCTATGTTAAGTTCATGTTCCTACTATGCCTAGTTTAATTATTTTTGTGAACTGGAAGTGGAGGTGAGCCTTCTAGTTGACTTTAAAACATTTTACTATGAAAAGACATCATTTATGCTTCAATAGAACACGCTTTCTCCCCCTTCCCCACACAAATGCAATGGAATTTCATCCCTTCCTTCCATTTTTACATCTTCTTCCCCCTCCCCCCCTCCACTCTCTTTTTCCCCCTCTCTTTCCCCCTTTATAATATTCACATGCTAACTGTCATTATAACAGTCATCATAGTGATTCTAAGCTCAAACCCACTGCTATTATCTCCATGTACACAATATAAATTGGCTGGCCATACCTGGGATGCAAAGACACCTGGCAGAGGCTGGCATACTTCATATAAAGTGGTTTTCCTGTCATAATGTACTATTAGTGAAGCAAGCATGCAGGCACACTAATTGCAATGGCCACTATCATAATAATAATAATAATAATAATATATATATATATATATATATAATTAGATAGTATAGCCAGCAG